CAGCAGCAGCAGCAGCAGCAGCAGCAGCAGCAGCAGCAGCAGCAGCAAGAGGGGCAGCAGCAGCCTCTGGCCATTGAGGGGCACTTCCAGGCCATGGAGATAGAGGAGGTGCAGGGGCAGCAGGTTGGTGTGGCGGGCGGCAGCGCCGCCCTCGCGCCACCCGTAGTCCTTGGTGTCAGTGGGCCGCCCAAGGCCGCAGCAGCCGGCGAAATCTTGGCAGCGGCGCCGCTGCCCGCGGCTGCACCGGCATCGGTGGGGGCACTGCAGCCTGGCGCCCCTGCCGTGCAGCCGTCTGAGGCAGCAGCTGCCCCTGCCATTGGTGAGGTGGCCCCTGCTGCTGCCGCAGGCGCCGTCAGCAGGCGCCGCCTGGTGGCCCTCACCGCTGGGCGCGGCAAGAAGGGCAAGAAAGTCATTGGGCACTGCCTGCCCGTGCAAGAACTCTTCAAGCGTGTGCGCGGCCGGGGCGGCGGCCGGGGCGGCGGCGGGGGCCGCGGGCACGACAGCGACGACGACGGGGGCTCTGGGCTTGAAGGCTAAGCGGCGCCCAGCGTGACATACAGCGTCGAGCGGCGAGCGGCGTGCGGGCGCGCGCAGGGGGTGTCGGTCGGCTGCCAGATTTATCTGGGCGGCGCCTACACGCGCCGCCTGGCCGCCGCCACCACCACGCCCAGCGAGCGGCCCAGCAAGGTGCGCGGCACCGGGACGCCGTCGGTCGCCGTCACGCGCCAGACGACTCTCGCGGCGGGCACGGTGTCGCCCGAGGCGGGCAGGCACCCCGGCGGCGGCGAGGCCAGCAGTAGTGGAAGGGGGCCGCCGCCCGATGATGCCGGCGCGGGGCCCGCGGACGCGGCGGCCCGGGCCGGCGCGCGGCTCCGGGGGCGGGGCCGGCGGCGCGGGGGCCCGAGGCGGCACGCAAGCTGCAGTGGGACCAGCACCCACTGCAACCGCGACAGCAACAGCAGCAGGGTCAGCGGCATGGGGATGGGCTGCAGCAGCGGGAGGGGCATCAGCAGGCTGAGGGGCAGCAGCCAATGGCAATGGAGATTGAAGGTGTGGGTCCGGTTGAGCATGTCCTGGTGCAGCAGCAGCGGCGGCAGCAGCAGCAGCAGCGGCGGCGGCAGCAGCAGCGGCAGCAGCCAGAATAGCAGGAGCATGAGGAGCGGCTTGGCGCGCCACCGGGGGCGGCCGCGGCTGGCCCACAGCCAACTGCTGCTGCCGGCGGGCCGCGGCGCCGCCTCGTGCCCGTTGCCGGCACTTTTTTCTGGGTGATCAATATCAGGGTTACTGTTGTCACTGCTGTTAACATATGTAATAATCATGTATGTCGTGTGTCACAAGCTGTCAATGGGTTTTGATGGGGATGGTTGCCGCCATATGTACACCTATCAACCTATGTAGTCACACTTTGTTACCGATGTCGGCAAGAAGTGTGACGTCCATCAAATGTGCAGTCCCTGTGCTGTTACAACGCAGGATTCTGTGTACAGACTGAGGATACTGGTTTACAAACAAGAAGTCGGGTGTGGTGTGTCANCGAGCTTTTGCGGCATTACTCAACCCCCCGGCGGCGGCCAGCACTGCAGTGGCCCTGCACTTGTCCCACTGAGTCCCACATTGTCCTGGTGCTAGTCTGGTGCACACCCTAGCACAGGGACCACCCCTAGTGACGACACCACCCTAGCCGGCTCATCAGTACCCAGGCGCAGGCGGGAGTGCTGCAGCGTCAAGCAGCTGCAGCAGGCTGGCGCTTTGCTTAGACGCGGGTGAAAGTGGGGTCGGATGCTCACCATAGCTTTTATATACCTATGCGATTATGAACTACTGCGCCGGGTAGGTTGCGAGGGCATCTCTACGTGGCTCCGTGCTGTTGCTATGTGATCTCGCTTGGGACGCCATTTACGCGGCTTTCAGAAGTCGCAAAGATTACGTTATGACCTGATGATATTATTTTAAAAATCCCTGCAACCTGTGGACCCCTATACAGCCGGTGACGGGAGGGGGTCGGAGTCGTCCGACTCGGGATGCGTCGGAGGTACGTAAAAGCCATATGCCCGCAGTCTCGACACGAAGGGGCACGTACTGCAGCTTGCAGAATGGGATTTGGTGCAGTGTGCTGCACACAGCAGCTTGGCAAAGTTTCGGTCCGTTGGCCTTAGATTCAATGCCAATGCAAAGTTTCGGTCCGTTGGCCTTACATTCAACATTTATAGCTGTTGAATGTAGGAAGGGCAACACGACTCTGGTGGGTGCTACATATACACATACACTTGTCTGAGAAGCCTGTGACCCAGCTTGCATGACGCATGACCCAGTGAACATAATGGAACGCAGGATGCTCAGGGCCCCAAAAACCAGTTGACTTCTTGTTCTCACACACGTGTAGCAGCGACCTTTTTGCAACACCCACCCCCCCACCCAGGATGCGAGGGGTGTCGAGCAGTCTCTCCTCGTAGAGGGCCTGTTGGGTAGCTTGGACCTGCTGCACCCTGGGCAGAGCCCAGGGTGCCCTTGGATGCAGGGTGCCTGTTGCGGGGCCTGTGGCCAGGCAGGCAGCAGGTTCCTCTCCTGCCCATCTTCATTCCATTAGCTGCCGTTGAATAAATACGTTTGGTGGACGTCACACTTCTGACCGATCCCGGTAACAAAGTGTGACCTAGGTGTGTTCACACATAAATACGGTTGGTGAAGAGCACTCAGCTGTGGAGCAGCTGGGTCATCACAGGAGCTTCTTGTTCTCAGACAAGTGTATGTAGCACCCACCAGACGCAGTCTCTCACGGCAGAGGGCTGGGCTGAAGCAAATAAAAGGGGGCCCCAAAACAAAGGGTCGTGACACCGCCCCCATCCCTATGAGTTGAAGCAAAGATTTGCACTCATTCTGCTGACCCACAGCAAAAAAAACGTTTGATTCACGGCATCATGCCAGGTGTAGATATAGGGGAGTGCTTGGGTGTACACATCGCCCCTCGGGTCGTTCAAACAGCAGGTGCGCCGCACCGTGTCAGTTTGTTCCAACGAGAGACATGGACCTTGCTTGGCTGTAGTCACGACTTTTTGGGCGGTGCTGCCTTGGGAGTTTTCTATTTCTATTTTAGCTTGGGGCGACAAGTCGGAAATACAGTCACTCATTTTTAGGTTGCATGGACGGCAGCGCCGAATCGCGCACACCTCGGACGGCGCGCCTCCGTCACAGGGGCCCAGGGCTCTCTCCGCCAGCTGCCCCCGCGCGCGCCCAGCCCTTCATCCTTGCAGCCACTGCATCACTTGCCGGCTACGGCGGAAACAGTGATTTCGGAGGCGCTGCTGTTGGTGCTCACTTGGTACCCGATGCTGTGTTGAGTGCCCATGCCCTGCCGGTGAGCAAGTTTACACAGCCATCCATCGACGCCAAACTCACGTCACAACTGCCCTCGCCACAGTTAACAGCTTTTAAACGCCCTGCGACGGTCCGGGCGCCAGCTGACCCCACCCACGCGCCCGACCCTGCCGGATTCCTGCAACCCAGCAGGCACGCCGCCAATGATTGGCGGTGACGGCTGCGCGGCCGTCGCGCGACGTGACCCTGCTGCGTGCACGCACGTACGCGGCGCCGCCGCCTCGATTCTGCGACCTCAGCATGCATGTCGTCATCAATCACTCACTACACCTCGCCAGTGCCCTGGCCGCCNGCCGCCGCCGCCGCCGCGTTGTTGCCCGGCACGCGCGCATACGTATGTGCACGCGCCTGCTCGGCCGACCGGTCTGCGTGCGCCGCTGCCGGTCCCTCCCCCCCCCCCCCCCC